GAGGTTGCAACAATGTATCTATTTGTTTCCATTTAGGATACAGATGTTTTTATTCGGAAACAAATAGATACAATGTTGCAACCTCTATAAATGTCAAGGAACTGTCAGAGAACTGTCAAAGAAATAGCGGAGCTCTCTGCAGGGACACTTTTTGCTGGACTGGAATTCCTCTTATTTTCATCCTACTTCTTCTTCTTCTTCTTCTTCATCCTCATCCTCTTCTTCTTCTTCATCCTCATCTTCTTCTTCATCCTCATCCTCGTCTTCATCATCATCCTCTTCTTCATCATCCTCATCCTCGTCTTCATCCTCATCCTCTTCTTCTTCTTCCTCCTCATCCTCTTCTTCATCCTCATCCTCTTCTTCTTCTTCATCATCCTCATCCTCTTCTTCTCCTTCATCATCCTCATCTTCATCCTCTTCTTCATCCTCTTCCTCTTCTTTTTCTTCTTTTTGTCTTCCTCTGGCAGGTCACTGCTTATGCGCAGATTTTGTATCGGTAAAAAAATCGGCCGATTTGCCCACTAATTGCCGCGAAAATCGACCGATCGGCAAAATCGGACGATTTTTTTCCAACTTTACCAAAAAATAAAAACTGCCAAAATACCGAAAAACGGCCGAACAAATAGCCCACTAACGATCCGAAAATCGGCCGATTTTTATTTTCGGCCGAAAAATCGGCCAATTTTCGACCCATCTATGGCCTGCATAAGATGGCAGCTTCTTTGGCTGTAAAGGATGGGAGGGTTGAATTCTGCTTTAAGTTACTTCACTTCTGCAGTCTTCTTGGTACAGGCTGCTTTAGCTTGCGTGTGCAAACACCTTTTGCATTGTGTAGTCCCTGTAAAGGACTTTGGTAAGAACTGCAGTTAAAGTGGAGTTCCACCTTAAAAAAAAACTAAAATAAAAGTCAACAGCTACAAAAACTGTAGCTGCTGACTTTTAAAATACAGACACTTACCTGTCCCTCGGTCCAGTGGTGTCTTCACCGCTGCTGATTTCACAGGCAGTCTTCTCTCCCTTGCGCCATCTTCAGTGTGGGCACCCGGCTTTGACAGCTTGTGCTTCACAGCCGGGTGCCCATTGCGCATGCATGAGAAGTGCTGTGCTTTTTGAATGGCCCCATAGTCTTCTGGGCCCTGTCACGTGTCCCAGAAGACTACGGGGAGGGGGTGGAGGACAACTTCAGCTTCCGATCGCCTACTCAATCGCAGCGGAAGTTGGAGCAAGCTCCTGTCAAATTCGGGTACCTGCTACCCCAAGGTGCCAATCCTTAATGGGTAGTGAGGGACAAAGGCTTAAAGCGGAACTTCCCCTTTGGGGTGGAGCTCCGCTGTAGGATTGAGTTCCCTTGCTGTGTCTATGAACTGTGTAACGTTTAAGCACAAAATAATGTGGGGCAGTGTTGCTCAGCGGATCTAGTTTTTCCATTGCTCTTTAACGTTTGTATGAGCACTTAGAAGTATTTTAGAAGATCTGTCTGCAGTAAGGGCATTGTGCTTGGGTTGGATAACCTAGATTAGGATGCTTTTTTGAGCCTTAGACACTTTAAAGAGATCATAATTGGTATGTGATGTCCGGACCTAATTTTTAATGACTAAGGCAACGTTGTCTTTTATATTGGGAGAGGTGAAATATGTGATTTTTGGTATTTATTTGGTAAATTATGTTTTGTAATAAAGGAATTTTGATTGTGTATATGCTGCACGAGTGCTTAATATGGTGGCTATATTAATCAGGGTGTCTATTCCCCGATTTATTTTGTTCCCTGACTGGGGGAACCCCTACCTTATTGGAAACCGTACAGCACCATAACAGAATCACCTTGTGATCTATTGCACAGGGTTCTATATATGCATGTCTAGTGCCAGTTGGCAACTTTACAGGCCATCCCTGCATTGTCTCCCTTCTGCCCAATGCAAGGTCTGGGTACCATTCTGCTGAATGATGATATTCATGTGGATGTGAATACCAACTAGTCTCCTGAGTTATTCTGGCCTTCTTGTACAGAGAAATGCACAGCAGTGACCATCACCTTCAGACACTAGCAAAACACTGCAAACAATCCTGAATGGGAGGGGCTTTATAGGAGACTTTTGTTTTTTTGCCAGTGCCCAATTACCTGTAGGTGGTGCATAACTGAGTAATGCAGGCCATAGACTGATCGTTTATCGGACGATTTTTCATCTGAAAAATGAAACATCGGTCGTTCTGTTGCCACCAATGATTGTGAAAATCGGCCGTTTTTCACAAATTTTCCAGCATGACCGATAAAAGAAATGAGGAGGAACCACGATTATTCTTTCGGACGAAAAATCGGCCGATAAACAAACCGTCTATGGTCTGCATAAGGAATAATAGAGCTGCTCTGTTTTCCATGATGAAGATAAACAATAATCTTTTCATGTTCACCATCTTCTTGATGGACTAAAATTTTGGTCCTAGCATGTCACAGTGATGTAAATCTTGATACCTGTGTAGTTCTTGGCTATGTACATAAATGTCTGAATAGATTAACTCTCAACTGCAGTTTCTCAACTTGTGACAAGAGCTGAGCAGAGTAATATCAGCAAAACTGGGTTCATGCAGAAAATGTTAGCAAAATTAGCCTTCAATTCACTTAAAAGTAGTTGTAAACCCCCTACGTATATTTAGTGAAGTGACTATCCTCGGGTAATACACAGATTAAATAAATCCTCCTATATAAGTTGTACCTGTTTATCTGCTGTTTTTCTCCACGTCATTCAAAGTGCTGAATTTATAAAGCTTCTCAGAGTTCACAAAAAAGGGGGCAGAGAGCTGGAGTTGCACTCTACAGATCTCAGGGGAGCTATGAGAGCTGATTGGAGGGAAGGGACACACCTCCTCCCTTCACACAGCTCACAGGAACAGAGCTGAGTCTTTCAATCTGCTGGAGCTCCCTCCCGTCAGCATTTGGCAGAAGTGATTCTTTCTGATAGCAGAGGAACAAGGCAGCAGACAGAAATTAAACTTAGTGCTCTTAATAAAGACAAGTACAAACGATAGAGGCAGATGCTTTGTTCATATTTCATGTCTGAGGTTTAGAACCACTTTAACTAGTTCTGGACCGTGCTATAGCCAAAAGACAGCTACAACATGGTTGGCTAGTTCTGGGAGGGTGCCCATGGATGTCCTCTCAGAACCCCCCCTCCCCTGGGGCGCGCTCTGGGCACAATCTGTGCTCGCTGTACAGCTGATCGCGCATCCAGGTAAAGGGCCAATCAGAGCGGTCTTTTACCATGTGATCAGTTGTGTCCAATCACAGCCAATCAATGTAAATAGAAAATGCTGGTTAGCGGCAGTCCTCTCTTCACGTTGACAGCATGTGAGGAGGGGAGAGCTGGTAAGCGACATTTCTCATCAGTGCAGCCCCATCATTGTGGCTAATAGTGCCCATCAGTGCTTTGTATCAGTGCCAATCAATGCTGCATATCGGTGCAGCCGCATCAGCGAAGGAGAAAAATCGATTATTTACAAAACTTTATAACAGAAACTAAGAAACTTTTTCTTCAAAAGTTTTGGTCTTTTTTGTTAAGCAAAATATAAAAACCCCAGTGGTGATTAAATACCACTAAAAGAAAGCTCTGTTTGTGTGGAAAAAAAAAAGATAACAAAATTCATATGAGTACAGTGTTGCATGACTGCACAATGGTCATGCAATGTGTAACAGTGCTGAAAATTGGACTGGGCAGGAAGTGGGTAAAAGTGCCCAACAGGCAAGTGGTTAAACATATTTTGTGTAAAATGTTAAAAAAAAAAAAAAAAAAAAAAAAACACAACTTTGTTCATTTATGATAAACAAAATTGAGATTTTGCTTTGCCCACATTTTGGAGATATGCATTGGAATCAGAGGCTAACTTTGCTGAAATAACTCCACTCATCCCTACTTGTGATTTGCTACAAAGGAATAATAATGTTATAACGTTGCAGTCTCATCACTGGAGAAGACAGGGAAAAAAAAAAAAAAAAAAAGCTTTCTGCCTGCAGCAGAATGATGACATAATGTAAGCTTGGTTTATAGTATCTGTTGCTGTGGTGTATTTAGATCTTGTTCTGCCCTAGGCAACACAAAAATTGGCACCACCCCCCCCACCCCGGTCAAAAAGAGCCTGACCATTGTCCCCCATACACCAGCCACCATCCCCCACGGCGAGAGAGAGAAAGAAAGACAGACACTCACCTTCACAGTTTTGGACATCCCCAGGAATGTGAGTCAGGCTGTGGATACACTGTCAACCCACAGCATCTCTCAGAACCCACCAGGTCCCCATGCCGTGTGTGTCCCTTCTTCCAAGGGGCAGTGCTGCCCCCTGAAAAATGCTGCCCTAAGCAAATGCCTTGTGGTAAATACACCCCTGATCTGTTGCACTCCTTGAAAACTTACTCTGCAGAAAGTTGATCCATGGATTATCTATCCCCCCCCCCCCCATTCTTTTTTTGTCCTCTAGTTGAACTCAATGGATGTGTTATCAACCTACAGTATGCGACTATATGTAACTTTAGTAAAACTGGCGTGCTTTCTCTTACTAGTGAGACCTGTAAACCTATAAACAGTTTAGCAAGGGAAATGTTAATGTACAACTGTGTTTAAATTGCACCACTGATCCAAGCTAAGAAGCAGACAAGTTATTCAGACTGTGGGATGTAATAGTTGGCAATTAGACAAGTAAGAGACTTTTCATTTGGGAAAAAAAAAAAAAATTTAATGAGTTGGAAAATGTAACACAAAGCAAGATTAAAATATACAAAATTTCACATACTGTCTCAACTCAATTCAAAAATGACCATCAACATCCAAGTATTAAACCTAAACATTTTGTATAACGGCACATTGAAAATAAGTCGCCAGATCCATATAAAGGTAGATCAAATACACTCTGTGTATAAGCGAACAGAAAATATAATTACATGTTTTAAAAATCATACTGGCGCAGCCTAAACAGTCTGTTCCTATTAAAGGAAAGGTATTCCTTCTGTATTAAGGTTTCCAGAGTTTCAGAAGTCCATCTTCACTGTAGGTGCCAATCAAATTCTGATGAGGATGATGTGCAATCCCTATGACATCCTTCTCATGGACCTAAGGTAATAAAGACAGAAAAACATTACAGGTACAGGATTTCAAAAGCATCTCTGCATTGTTCAATCAGGCTACATGCTCCAATGCAGACTGCATGTGGGTTTTTTTTTGTGTTGTTTTTTAAGAAATACCTAGATGTATGGGCTGCTCAAAAAATATGCTATTCGAAATCAGTTCCCATATTCAAGTGAACAGTCTGTGAACTCTAATGCTTCGCCAACTGCTGCAACCAGAATTCGAAGAGTACCTCACAGAGTCACTGGGGGTACACTTCATGAGCTTTAGGTGATTTTGCTTCCCTTATAACATAAAAACTTCTAAGTCAAGTTTGAATCCATGTAGTAGTCCTAATCTATATTTAAAGTAATTTTTATTTTGATGCAGAAAACAATGGTTTAAACCTGTCAGTTTTCTAGGCTATCCATTGAGGAGGTTTCCCTTCATGTTCAGTGAACAGACAAGTAGTAAAAAGTATGCAGAGACGTTCCCAGTGGAAGATATCCCCTCTATCCCCGTTTGGGTGACAACTCAAAATTTTGGATTTTTCCTCACGTTTAGCCCTGGTGGCATTGGTGTCCATAAAAAGAGAGTAAGACTCTCTACAAGGGTCTGAGATGCCAATATATTAACACAAAACACACACACACACAGGATGTTACCCGGCGCCACTATTTTTGCTCACATTTAGCTGTATGACAGACCTTAAGGAGCCTAAAGTGGGTATGGTTGAAAATTCCTCTTCTGCATCAAAAGCAAGGTGTCTCAGATCACCAACAAAAGGGTTACTATAGCAATGAATAAATGGGGAAGGGAAGAGAGGTGCCCAAGGAACCAATATTGTGTAGTATATCAATTTATTAAAATCATAGTATTGCACTCACAAGGGTGAAATGTTTGCAGGCGTCATTATAGCAGAAGTCCAAAACTGCAGGCAGATGGATGGCTGCACTTCCAGTGGCTGCCTTTCCATGCAGCTCCCAGTTGATCAAGCAGAGAGGATGGGTGCCTTAGAGAGCGGGATGCAAAGCCAGGAGTGTAGCAAAAAGTGCACGAGCTTCAGCCGCTGTGTGCACTAGCGAATCAGTGGATCGGCGGATCGCTGGAACCAAAGCTTCACTGGAAAGGACGGTCATGCAGGAAAGGATGAACAGCCTAGTAACACCACCGAGGAAGTGAGTGTATGTGACTCAAGTGAATGAGTTTTCAGAAGAACAAACTTCCTTCATCAGCCTAACACAATAGCCTACCTCCGGAGATTAAATAGTGCGAGTTAATTGCAGATCAGCAGGGGACAACATTCTGGCTGGAAATAGCATCAAGACAAACAACACAGGAACTGCCATTGCAAAAAGGTCAGATCAGCACAGCTAAGTACAGACTCATAGCATTAAGCCAAAAATAGTAGGAATATGTTACATGGGTTATAACATCAGGCCCTTGAGAACCAAGTTTGGAGGACACAGGCAAAATATAGAAGATGAAGCCCCTGAATCCAGTATTGCTGGACATTTCATACAACATCACAATAGTGACTCCTCCAAACAGAGTCATAGTCATTCAATCTATACCAGTGGCTATGGACGAAGGTGAGAGGTTAAAAAAAATTATGTGCCCAAGAAACCTACTGGATATTCAAACTAGGTGGTCTTACAGCCAATAGCCTAAATGAAGAACTGGAAGGTAATACCACCATATGATCTGCTCCAACACCTTTCAACATTTTTTCATGATTTCTCTTCATCTCCCGTTAATTCTTTCCTTTTGAGGCAACAACCAACTGGGATCTCTTGTCATGGTTAGACACACATCACCCCTCACTCACCTCCCCCCCCCCCCCCTTTAGATCATTCTACATTACAAAACCTATTGGCTGCTGCTGGCAATAATCAATATTCAGGACTCTCCCTTCCCAAAGATAGTAGCTTCTCTTTTTGAGATGTTTTTTCGGACACAGTCTAAAAGGTCTCAGGCAATGGAGCTTACGATCTAAGAGATATACACACACACACACACTTTTTTTTAGGATTGATAATCTCAATATAGACTTTTATGAGGTTCACTTAATAGTTTATTATTCCTACGGTTTTTATCTGAATTGCTGCTTAACGATAGGAGTCTGTACTTAGCTGTGCTGATCTGGTCTTTTTGCAATGGCAGTTCCTGTGTTATCTGTCTTGATGCCATTTCCAGATAGAATGCAGATCAGCAGGGGTCAACAATTAACTCACACTATATAATCTCCGGAGGTAGGCTTTAGGGTTAGGCTGATGAAGGAAATTTGTTGTTGTTCTGAAAAAGCCAGTCCCTAGAGTCACACACACTCACTCCCTTGGTGGCGTTACCTGGCTGCTCGTCCTTTCCTGCATGACAGTCCTTTCCAGCAAAGCTTCGTTTCCAGTGATCCGCCAATCCACCGATTTGCTCACACAGTGGCTGAAGCTCTTGCATTTTTTGCTACGCTCCTGACTTTGCATCCTGCTCTCTAAGGCCACCCATCCTCTCTGCACCTCCAGTGGCTGCCTCTCCATCCACCTCCCAGTGGATCACTCCATCCATCTGCCTGTGGTTATGGACGTCTGCCATAATGACATGCCTGCAAACACTTCACCCTTGTGAGTGCAATAATTTAATAATTTGTTTAATAAATTGACGTACTACACTATATTGGTTGCTTGGGCGCCTCTCTCTCCCCTTCCCCATTTATTCTTCTCAGATATCAATCTATCCCAAGCCAGATTGGAGTCAGCAGCCTGGTCCCATTAGTATGTCCAGTTATACAGCCTTACCTCCAGGATTATGTTTATTCTCACATGTCACAGTATGAAGAATTTGCTACATTGTATCAAGTCATTACAAGGTTCAGTCAATGAGTAGACCACGTTGTTACTCAAACACTAGCAGTGATTTGTTTCACTGAATTCATTAACAGCACCTGATCTGTGAACTAGGGCAATTTTCTTTTTTGTTTTCTGTTACTATAGCAATGTCTGGCTCAAACCTGGCAATAGTTTGCTTAAAAGTACTGCATTGTAGGTGGTAAGGGTTAACACACATGTAAATAGGTTAGCCATCAAAAAAAAAAAAAAAAACAAAATGTCCAGATAAAGGGCAAACCATAGGCCAGTAGTCTCCAAACTGCAGCCCTTTGCTTGCTTTTATCTGGCCCTTGGGGCATTATTTCCTCCATCAGGAACAGTGAGGCACAGGTCCTGCCACTGACACCAAGAATAGGGCAATATTCATCCCACTGACACCAATGACGGGGCACTATTCCTCCCACTGACACCAATGATGGGGCACTATTCCTCCTCCAGACACCAATGATGGGGCACTATTCCTCCTCCAGACACCAATGATGGGGCACTATTCCTCCTCCAGACACCAATGATGGGGCACTATTCCTCCTCCAGACACCAATGATGGGGCACTATTCCTCCTCCAGACACCAATGATGGGGCACTATTCCTCCTCCAGACACCAATGATGGGGCACTATTCCTCCTCCAGACACCAATGATGGGGCACTATTCCTCCTCCAGACACCAATGATGGGGCACTATTCCTCCTCCAGACACCAATGATGGGGCACTATTCTCCTCCTCCAGACACCAATGATGGGGCACTATTCCTCCTCCAGACACCAATGATGGGGCACTATTCCTCCTCCAGACACCAATGATGGGGCACTATTCCTCCTCCAGACACCAATGATGGGGCACTATTCATCCTCCAGACAATGACGGGGCACTATTCCACACCTACTGACGGGGCACTATTCATCCTACTGACGGGGCACTATTCATCCTACTGACGGGGCACTATTCATCCTACTGACGGGGCACTATTCATCCTACTGACGGGGCACTATTCATCCTACTGACGGGGCACTATTCATCCTACTGACGGGGCACTATTCATCCTACTGACGGGGCACTATTCATCCTACTGACGGGGCACTATTCATCCTACTGACGGGGCACTATTCATCCTACTGACGGGGCACTATTCATCCCACTGACGGGGCACTATTCATCCCACTGACGGGGCACTATTCATCCCACTCACGGGGCACTATTCATCCCACTCACGGGGCACATTCTGACGGGGGGGCACTATTCATCCCACTGACGGGGCACTATTCATCCCACTGACGGGGCACTATTCATCCCACTCACGGGGCACTATTCATCCCACTGACGGGGCACTATTCATCCCACTGACGGGGCACACTATTCATCCCACTGACGGGGCACTATTCATCCCACTGACGGGGCACTATTCATCCCACTGACGGGGCACTATTCATCCCACTGACGGGGCACTATTCATCCCACTCACGGGGCACTATTCATCCCACTGACGGGGCACTATTCATCCCACTGACGGGGCACTATTCATCCCACTGACGGGGCACTATTCATCCCACTGACGGGGCACTATTCATCCCACTGACGGGGCACTATTCATCCCACTGACGGGGCACTATTCATCCCACTGACGGGGCACTATTCATCCCACTGACGGGGCACTATTCATCCCACTGACGGGGCACTATTCATCCCACTCACGGGGCACTATTCATCCCACTGACGGGGCACTATTCATCCCACTGACGGGGCACTATTCATCCCACTGACGGGGCACTATTCATCCCACTGACGGGGCACTATTCATCCCACTGACGGGGCACTATTCATCCCACTGACGGGGCACTATTCATCCCACTGACGGGGCACTATTCATCCCACTCACGGGGCACTATTCATCCCACTCACGGGGCACTATTCATCCCACTCACGGGGCACTATTCATCCCACTCACGGGGCACTATTCATCCCACTCACGGGGCACTATTCATCCCACTCACGGGGCACTATTCATCCCACTCACGGGGCACTATTCATCCCACTGACGGGGCACTATTCATCCCACTCACGGGGCACTATTCATCCCACTCACGGGGCACTATTCATCCCACTCACGGGGCACTATTCATCCCACTCACGGGGCACTATTCATCCCACTCACGGGGCACTATTCATCCCACTCACGGGGCACTATTCATCCCACTCACGGGGCACTATTCATCCCACTCACGGGGCACTATTCATCCCACTCACGGGGCACTATTCATCCCACTCACGGGGCACTATTCATCCCACTCACGGGGCACTATTCATCCCACTGACGGGGCACTATTCACCCACTGACGGGGCACTATTCATCCCACTCACGGGGCACTATTCATCCCACTCACGGGGCACTATTCATCCCACTCACGGGGCACTATTCATCCCACTCACGGGGCACTATTCATCCCACTCACGGGGCACTATTCATCCCACTCACGGGGCACTATTCATCCCACTCACGGGGCACTATTCATCCCACTCACGGGGCACTATTGATTCCACTGACACCAATGATGGCAAATTATTCCTCTCATTGATACCAGTGATGGGGCACTATATCTCCCGTTAATACCAAAGACGAGGCATTGTTCACTCCCACTGATCCCACATTTTCTTCTCCCACTGGTCACAGTCCAGCCCCCCTAAAATCTGAAGGACAGTAAACTGGTCCTTTATTTATAAAGTTTGGAGACCCCTGCTATAGGCACTCAATCTAAATGTAACATAGGGCACCAGAAGGTTATGATATTGACTTTTACACAGCAAAAGGAATAGGATATTTATTGTATAAGAGTAAAATAATGCAACTGCAACATTACATTCTTTCAAAGTGTGAATGAGTCAAACAGCTAAACTGACCTTAACGAAAATCCAGGCAAAACGTAGGTTTACTTAGTGTGGGAAAGGGTTAGCTCCTCTGTCTGGTTTTTGTTGTTCTACAATAACAGGCCACTGCAGTAATGACCTATTGCTTACAGATAATTGTAGCATATGAACGAATCAAATACTCACAGTCAAGGTTCTTTCTAGCTTGCCAGTTACAGTGCTGAAACAGTATAGCACAAAATCCTCTCCAACACAGTAGATCCACTCTCCTCTGGGCGATAGTGTACAGCAGACAAAGTCACCACCTTCTCTTTTACCAGAGCTGAAGCTTCTAACAATCTGATTGAAAAATGGACAAATAGATTTTTACCAAAGATGATACACCAAGTAAATATTTATCAGAACTGGTGAATTACATCCAGCTGGTGACTCACAGTGCAAAAATCGGGATTAGGTAAGCATAGTGTGTAATTTTTGTCTGCACCTGTAGAGTACTAGTCATAGAGTATGTTAGAGATACTACAGATATTTCAAACTACACTGCTCAAAAAAATTAAAAGAACACTTTGAAAACACATCACATCTCAATGGGGAAAATATCATGCTGGATATCTATACTGATATGGACTGGATAATGTGTTAGGAACGTAAGGATGCCCCATCGTTTGATGGAAATTAAATTCAGTCTTCTCTAGATTGATCATTTTCAAGACACCTCGAAAATCAAACTGAAAAAAGGATGCAGCAGGCTAGTCCATTTTGCTGAAATGTCAGTGCAGCAACTCAAAATGGTACTCAGTAGTTTGTATGGCCCCCACATGCTTGTATGCATGCCTGACAACGTTTTGGCATGCTCCTAATGAGACGACAGATGGTGTCCTTGGGTATTTCCTCCCAAATCGGGACCAGGGCATCACTGAGCTCCTGGACAGTCTGAGGTGCAACCTGGTGGCATCAGATGGACTGAAACATGATATCCCAGAGGTGTTCTATTGTATTTAGGTCATTCAGTGGTATCAATTCCTTCATCCTCCAGGAACTGCCTGCATACTTTTTCCACATGAGGCCGGGCATTGTCGTACACCAGGACCCACTGCACCAGCATAGGGTCTGACAATGGGTCCAAGGATTTCATCCTGATACCCAATGGCAGTCAAGGTGCCATTGTCTAGCCTGCAATGGTCTGTGCGTCCCTCCAAGGATATGCCTCCACAGACTATCACTGACCCACCACCAAAACACTCATGTTGAACGATGTTACAGGCAGCATAACATTCTTCACGGCTTCTTCAGACCCTTTCATGTCTGTCATATGTGCTCAGGGTGAACCTGCTCTCATCTGTGAAAAGCACAGGGCGCCAGTGGCGGATCTGCCAATTCTGGTGTTCAATGGCAAATATCCAATCCAGCTCTATAGTGCAAGGCAGTGAGCACAGGGCCCACTAGAGGACGTCGGACCCTCAGGCCACCCTCAAAGTCTGTTTCTGATTGTTTGGTCAGACACATTCACACCAGTAACCTGCTGGAGGTCATTTTGTAGGGCTCTGGCAGTGCTCATCCTGTTCCTCCTTGCACAAAGGAGCAGATACCAGTCCTGCTGATGGGTTAAGGACCTTCTACAGCCCTGTCCAGCTCTCCTAGAATAACTGCCTGTCTCCTGGAATCTCCTCCATGCTTTTGAGACTGTGCTGGGAGACACAGCAAACTTTCTGGAAATGGCACATATTGATGAGCCATCCTGGAGGAGTTCGACTGCATGTGCAACCTCTGTAGGGTTCAGGTATCGCCTCATGTTACTAGTAGAGACACTGACCCTAGCCAGATGCAAAACTAGTGAAAAACAGAAAAGAGGAGTAGGGAAAAAAATGTCAGTGGTCTCCACCTGTAAAACCATTCCTGTTTTGGGGGTAGTCTCATTGTTGCCCATCCAGTGCACCTGTTAATTTCATTACAACAAAGCATCTGAAACTGATTAACAACCCCCTCTGCTACTTAACTGACCAGATCAATATCCCAGGAGTTTAATTGATTGATGCTATACTCCGATTAAAAAGTGTTCCTTTAATTTTTAGGAGCAGTGTATAATTACCCCTATGTATCAGAAATTTTGTATGGGCTTCTATTGGTAGTATGAGTATAGGAGCCTAGCACACAAGGAGCGGTCAGACATGCACTGGAACTCTGCAACTAAATATTAGTTATTAACACTGAAATGGTGAGTTGCTGTGCACCTAATAGTGCTCACACATTTTTTAACAAGTGTGGTGACAAGAACTATAAATAAAATAAAATTCCAATGTCACGGTAAACCTGTAGTGGTCAACTTAGGTAATAAAGTAAAAATAAAAATCAAGTGTTTCACTACATAAACAGTATTAAGATGGTAATATGATCATTTTTGAAGTGCTCCTTACAATTACAATGTTAAACACAAAAGCTTCTAAAGTGTCCAAACCATCATATCTAATCGACAATTTAAATAAAAACAATACAATTATATATAAAGTTTCTTTTTCATTATTATTATACAGGATGTATATAGCGCCAACAGTTTGCTCAGCGCTTTACAATATAACGGGAGACAAATCAGCAACAATACAGTTCAATACAAGAGGGAAAAGAGGGCCCTGCTCCTTGGAGCTTACAATCTAGGATCTAGTTTTCATAAACTTTTTTTAATAGCAAACACAAAATACCTTCCGTGTGTATAAGACCAACTTCATCCATAACAGTGGTACACACTAGTGGAGGCCCTTCTGTTTCCCCTATAAGAGCTAAGTAAACATGGCTGCATGAAAACAGGTGAACCTTAAAAAGGGACCGTGCCTTATTACTAAGCTATTGGAAACACATGAAGAGAGTCCCTAGTGGACAAGGAGTGCTGGAGGACTGGTCCAGTGGAGGAATCCCAGTGTGTGAATTCTTAGAGGAGCACATATGTCGTTATGAAGGTGAAAGTTCTATGAGCACTGAGGTGGCACGACTTGATATACACTGAATAACAAATGAAGCATTGTTATGGATGCTGATGGTTTAATTCACACGAAAGAAGCTTTGGGTTTGCTATTAGCTCTCACACTTTGAATAACAACTGCACGGACATACAACGCTGTACCCAAACTAAATTTTAATCATTTTGTTCACACGACTAGAGCTTTTTTTTGGTGGTATTTAAATCACCACTGGATTTTTTATATTTTGTTAAAACTAACGAACAAAGACCGATAATTTTGAAAGAAAAAAAAAAAAAAAAACGTTTTTCTTAGTTTCGGTTATAAAACTTTGCAAAGAAATAATTGTTCTTCATAAATTTAGGCATCATAACTGGTATTTTGGTATCGGGGACACTGACTGGTGACGGTCCAAAAAATGTATTTCTTCAATTTTTATGACTTTTTTTACAATTTTTTTTTCATAAACACACTGACCAGAGTAGTATAATGTTACTATAATAACACTGTACTACTCTGGGGAAGTGATCAGTATTTTTTTTTTTTATATACATTATAATTGCTTATAGCAAAAAATTTCTTTGGCAGCAGAGTTTTGGCAGAAAAAATGCCTGACGCTGATCAAAGTGTCTAATGCTTTTACAAGCATTTACAGGCGTCAAGCACTTGAGCGTTTTCTAATTTTCTTTGGCTAGAATTATAATTTATTCTGGCCACTGAAATGAATTACTGCTCAAGCACTAAATGCGCCTAGTGCTAAAAACGCATTTAGGACATGTTAAGCATTTTTCTGCCAAAACGCTTTTGCTCTTGGATGCACTGGCCCTGGGGGGCTTTTTCTGCTGGTAAACACTACGGCTACTAAACGTCTATGTGTGCATGGACACATAGGATAATATGGAGGGCCATTTGAAGGCAGTAAAAACAAAAAACAAAACTGGCTGTATGCACGAGGCCTTATCGTCACAATTATTTATATGGGAATTATTATTTATTTATTTTTTTAATTTATAGTTATTTTCACCACAATGAATGGTTAAAGCATTGGTGAGTACTATTAAGTGCAGAGCAGCATCACGCCATTTCAATTTTTACCATTATTGTGGGAACACAATTTTTATGTGAGCAGCGGCTGTTATCACGTTTAATGTACATATTGTAGTAGTTATCACATATTGTAGGTAGCGCAGGAGCAACACTTCATATAGTTATTGAAGAAATATAAAAAGTACTAATTATAGAGAGGCTAAAAGTAGTGTTAAGTAAAGATCATCCTGGTTTAACCACTTTTATCCCCTTTTAAGGTTTTATCCCCTTCACGACCAGAGCATTTTTTTGCTATTCAGCATTGCGCTACTTTAACAGGCAATTGTGCCTTCATGCAATACTGTACCCAAATGAAAAGTATATATTTTTTTTTTTTTTTTTTTTTTTTTTTTTTTTTTTACACAGAGCTGCCTTTTGGTGGCATTTGATCACCAATGGGCTTATTTTTATGTAAACCAAAAAATTTTGGAAAAAACCAATATTTTTCATTTCTGTTATAAAAACATCCAGTAAAAAAAAAATTAATTTGTTCAGAAATTTATACCAAAATGTATTCTGTTACAGGTCTTTGGTAAACAAAAAAAGCCCCCACACAATAAGTGTATATTAATTGGTTTGTGCAAAAGTTATAGCATCTATGAACTATGGTATATACACTCGCTGGCCACTTTCTTAGGTACACTTGTTCAATTAATTGGTAACACAAATTGCTAATCAGCCAATCACATGGCAGCAACGCAATGCATTTAGGCATCTAGTGGTAATGAGTACTTGCTGAAGTTGAAACCGAGCATCAGAATGGGGAAGTAAGGGGATTTAAGTGACTTTGAACATGGTTGTTGGTGAAACACATGCTGGTCTGAGTATTTGAAAAACTGCTGATCTACTGGGATTTTCATGCACAGCCATCTCTAGTGTTTACAGAGAATGGCAGACTGGTTCAAGATGATAGAAAGGAAACAGTATCTCAAAAAAAGTACTTGTTACAACCACGGTATGCATAAATGCCACCTCTGAATGCACAACACATCGGACCTTGAAGCAGATGGGCTACAGAAGCAGAAGACCACACCAGGTGTCACTCCTGTCAATTAGGAACAGGAAATGGAGGCTACAAATCCCACAGGCTCACCAAAATTGGACAATAGAAGATTAGAAAAAACGTTGCCTGGTCTGAAGAGTCTCAATTTCAGCTGCAACATTCAGATGGTAGAATTTGGCATGAAAGCATGGAACCCTCCTGTCTTTAATCAACAGTTCATAGATGTGCATGTGACAAATCTGCAAAAACTGCATGATGCGATCATGTCAATATGGACCAAAACCTCTGAGGAATGTTTCCAACACCTTGTTGAATCTATGCCACAAAGAATTAAGGCAGTTCTGCAGGCAAAAGGGGATCCAACCCAGTACTAGCAAGGTGTACCTAATCAGTGCTAATACTGTACACTGTTCTGTATTAATAACACTGGCTGGGAAGGCGTTAACATCTAGGGGCATTCAAGGGGTAAAATAAGTGCTTAACAATGTGTAATATTTGTGACCTGCAGTTTATACTGCTTTCCAGGAAGAAAAAAAAAGCCAGATTACTTTTCCCTATACAGAGAGCTCTGTGTTTTTTAAAGCCAGAACTCTGTGTGTGATTGGACACAGCCGTGATGTTGGCATGAGGTGACTGCACGCACGCTCCAAATTTGGAAGAAGCCCACTCACATACATATCCGTGATCGTGTCTGTACCTGCCACCCGCTCACAGTATATTTACTAAGAGCAGGCAGCTAAAATGAATATATGTTATACTTATCAAAAAGGACCATGCTAATGACAGCTGCAAGTACAGTATCAGATATGCCAACATGCTTGACTAATTCAAGTGCAATAGAGCGTACACTTTAGAAACCAATAACCAATTATAATTATCTTTATAAATCTCTTCTTTTACAGATATAAAATGCCAAAATCCTAAACATGATTGCTTGCCATTTGATTGCTAATCATCATCCTTTCCTCTGCAGACCTTTCATAAATATTATACTTTGTTGCCAAATACATTGCTCAGGATTGTGATCTTACATACTACAGATATTGTAACAGTTAATGGTGTGGTGCTACGAGTATACCTTTTCAGGGTAAAGATACCGTTGTTAACAAGTAAAAAACGTATCAATAACTGATGTAATGAGAATCAAGCATAATAATTAAGTGATTAAAACATACCACTCAGTGGTTCCCTATTAGGGATATGCAATACTAATTAGGTGATATCTGTGTACAAAAGTGCAAAAATAATCCACAGCACTCAGTGTTAATAACCATAAAAATGCAGTGATAATAGTGTCCACATAATTAAGTGTTTATCACACGATTGGGAAAAAACACGCTTATGCTCCTCTTGCCAGTGCGGGTGACAGGTGAGAATCCTATGTGGCTATCTCACCTTCCCCCTGCGACCCACAGGGGCCAAAATGCCTTGCGGATCACCTCTGGATCCTAAGTAATGTGCGATCACATGATACTTACTTGTCCTTGCATATTCATAATCACAACTGTGTTCGAGCGATTACACACAACAAAGTGCTCTGGATTTTTCGGCAAGAGAATGACACTGTTGACTGTAATGTCTGTTCCGGCAGTGCTTCCAAGGGACTTAAAGGTATTGACACACTCTGTGGTCTTCATATTCCACATCTTTGTTAAAAAGAAGAAAACATACATGATAATTATGTCTCATTCTGAATGGCATTTCACAATTGAAGAACCCTAAAGCAAGTTAAAATGACTGTGATTTGTAATTAAACATCACACACTTATCCCAGTGGCAAAAAAGGGGCTGATTCACACCTGTGGTTTTCTGCACTACAAACAATTGTTTTCTATGCGCAAAACTGTGCTGAATTATTTAGTATAACTGTAATTTTTGCCACTCAGCTCCATACATGAACACATGTTCAGAAAAGTGTCCTGTAAATGAAAAAAAAAAAAAAAAAAAATCCTCCCACCTGTCACAACACCAACAAAACGATCTGCCTGCAGTCCCACTGACCCACATAGAACATTGCCCGGATGTTGTCCAAATGTAAACAAAATTATGGCACCACACTCCTTGTGTTTGCATTCAGGCCACATTGGGGTAATGGCGAGTGCAGGTCAGCCAGATCATATCATAGATGGGTGTCATGGCAGGCAGTACATTGCTGGATCCTTATTTTTTTTTTCCTTTTTTTAAAACCACTTGAGCTCTGGAAGGTTTTACCCAATTTGGCACTACGCTACTTTAACTGGCAATTGCACGGTCATGCAACACTGTAACCAAACAAAATGTATATAATTTTTTTTCACATAAACAGAGTTTTCTGGTGGTGTTTAATCATCACTGGGTTTTTTTTTTTATTATATAAACAATAAAAGACTGACAATTCTGGGGAAAATATTTTCTGTAATAGCACATACAGTGGGGAAAAAAGTATTTAGTCAGCCACCAATTGTGCAAGTTCTCCCACTTAAAAAGATGAGAGAGGCCTGTAATTGGCATCATAGGTAGACCTCAACTATGAGAGACAAAATGAGAAAAAAAATCCAATCACATTGGCCGATTTGGAAAGAATTTATTTGCAAATTATGGTGGAAAATAAGTATTTGGTCACCTACAAACAAGCAAGATTTCTGGCTCTCATAGACCTGTACCTTCTTCTTTAACCTCTTGCCGACCGCGCATAGCCGAATGACGGCTTCACCGCGGCCGGCCAGTTCTGAGTGGACGTCATATGACGTCCTCCCAGAACGCGCTCTCCTGCGCGCCCCAGGGGGCGCGCACCCGGCGATCTCCGTGATCGCTGTGTCCTACGGACACAGCTGATCACGTGATGTGGTGAAAGGCCGATCCCACCGGCCTTTTACCACGTGATCAGCGGTGTCCAATGACACGCTGATCACAGGGAAATGCAAGTGCCGGTTCTCGGCTGCACTTTCCTCACGCTGTCAGATCGTGAGGAAAGTACTGCCGAGAACCGGCAGTTGTCAGAGCGAGGATCGGCACCTATCATCAGTGGCATCTGATGATCATCAGTGCCCTGATGATCGGTGCCCAGCAGTGACACCCGCAAGTTCCGCCCAGCAGTGCGCCCACTAGCCCCGCCCACCCATTCCCAGCAGTGCCCCCACCTGTGCCCAGCAGTGCACCCACCTGTGCCACTCTGCAGTGCACCCACCTGTGCCAGAAGTGCCACCTACATGTGCCCAGCAGTGCCACCTACATGTGCCCAGCAGTGCCACCTACTTGTGCCCACCCACCTGTGCCCACCAGTGCCACCCACCTGTGCCCACCAGTGCCACCCACCTGTGCCCACCCACCAGTGCAGCCCAGCAGTGCTGCCAGTCAGTGCCACCAGTCCGTGCCCAGGGTTGTGCCAGTCAGTGCCGCCAGTCAGTGCCCAGAAGTGATGCCAGTCAGTGCCGTCTATCAGTACCCATCATCAGTGTCACCTATCAGTGCTATCAGTGCCGCCTATCCGTGAGACCCCTATCAGTGCTGCTATCAGTGCCGCCTATCCGTGCCACCTCATTAGTACTGCCTATCAGTGCCCTTTAGTGCTGCCTATCTGCCCATCAGTGCCCCTATCAGTGCCCTCATGCCGCCAATCAACGCAAATCAGTGAAGAGAGAGAAAAAATACCTGTTTGAAAAATTTTATAAAAGAAACAAATAAACTTTTTTTTTTTTTCAAATTTTTTGCACTTTTTTTAATTTATAGCGCAAAAAGTAAAGCGCCCAGTGGCGATTAAATACCACCAAAAGAAAGCTCTATTTGTGAGAAAAAAAATGATCAAAATTTCATATGGGTACAATGTTGCATGACCGCGCAATTGTCAATCAAAGTGCGGCAGCGCTGAAAGCTGAAAATTGGCCTGGTAAGAAAGGGGGTATAAGTGCCTGGTAGGCAAGTGGTTAAGAGGCTCCTCTGTCCTGCACTCATTACCTGTATCAATGGCACCTGTTTGAACTTGTTATCAGTATAAAAGACACCTGTCCACAACCTCAAACAGTCACACTGCAAACTCCACTATGGTGAAGACCAAAGAGCTGTCGAAGGACACCAGAAACAAAATTGTAGACCTGCACCAGGCTGGGAAGACTGAATCTGCAATAGGCAAGCAGCTTGGTGTGAACAAATCAACTGTGGGAGCAATAATTAGAAAATGGAAGACATACAAGAGCACTGATAATCTCCCTCGATCTGGGGCTCCACGCAAGATCTCACCCCGTGGGGTCAAAATGATCACAAGAACGGTGAGCAAAAATCCCAGGACCACATGGGGGGACCTAGTGAATGACCTGCAGAGAGCTGGGACCAACGTAACAAAGGCTACCATCAGTAACACACTACGCCGCCAGGTACTCAGACCCTGCAGTGCCAGACGTGTCCCCCCTGCTTAAGCCAGTACATGTCCGAGGCCCGTCTGAAGTTTGCTAGAGAGCATTTGGATGATCCAGAAGACGATTGGGAGAATGTCATATGGTCAGATGAAACCAAAAAAGAACTGTTTGGTAGAAACACAACTCGTCGTGTTTGGAGGAGAGAGCATGCTGAGTTGCATCCAAAGAACACCATACCTACTGTGAAGCATGGGGGTGGCAACATCATGCTTTGGGGCTGTTTCTCCACAAAGGGACCAGGACGACTGATCCATGTACAGGACAGAATGAATGGGGCCATGTATTGTGAGATTTTGAGTGCAAACCTCCTTCCATCAGCAAGGGCATTGAAGATGAAACATGGCTGGGTCTTCCAACATGACAATGATCCCAAACATACCGCCCGGGCAACGAAGGAGTGGCTTCGTAAGAAGCATTTCAAAGGTCCTGGAGTGGCCTAGCCAGTCTCCAGATCTCAACCCCATAGAAAACCTTTGGAGGGAGTTGAAAGTCCGTGTTGCCCAGCGACAGCCCCAAAACATCACTGCTCTAGAGGAGATCTGCATGGAGGAATTGGGCCAACATACCAGCAACAGTGTGTGCCAACCTTGTGAAGACTTACAGGAAACGTTTGACCTCTGTCATTGCCAACAAAGGATATATAACAAAGTATTGAGATGAACTTTTCATATTGACCAAATACTTATTTTCCAACATAATTTGCAAATAAATTCTTTCCAAATCAGCCAATGTGATTGTCTGGATTTTTTTTCTCATTTTGTCTCTCATAGTTGAGGTCTACCTATGATGCCAATTACAGGCATCTCTCATCTTTTTAAGTGGGAGAACTTGCACAATTGGTGGCTGACTAAATACTTTTTTGCCCCACTGTATTACACTATACTGGCGGTGATCAGCAACTTATAGTGGGACTGTGATAGTGTGGATGAAAATCTGGTGCTAGCCAACGCTGACTGGTACACCAAGTGACTGACACTGACATCAATAGTGACACTAATACAGTGATCACTGCTAATACTGTACACAGTCACTGACTGTATTATTGACACTGAAAGAGAAGGGGTCAACATCTAGGAGCAGTCAAAGGGTTAACTGTGTGCCTAAGAAGTGTAATGTGTGAGATATGTGCTTCTTTGCCTGCTTTTCCTCCCTGCTTTACAGGAATAAGAAACAGCCAAATCACTATCTGTGTATAGAGCCCTGTGTTGTTTGTAAACACAAAGCTCTGTCCTGTGACTGGACACAGCTGTTCAGCAGGTCCCAGCCATAAATCAGTGGCCAGAACTTGCTGACAAAATCCTGCTGTATCCAACCGCAGGGGGCGCTTGAGACCCAAACCTCAAAGCAGGCTCGCTACGTTTATTTAGATTGCTGAGCCTGCAGCTGCTGCCTTGTTACATTAAATCTACTGTGACCAGGCAGCAAGTGATTAGGGGGAATTTTAGACTTTTTTAAAAGAAGACTTAGACTGTGTCTTATTCGAATATGACTTTTTCTAAGGTAGCATTGTGTTTATTTACATTCTACATTGTTTTTGTGTATTACTAACTGGGGTACTATGTACCACTTACTTGTTCACATAGTGAAATAAATAAAAGTCAGCAGCTACAAAAACTGTAGCTGCTGACTTTTAAAATACAGACACTTACCTGTCCCTCGGTCCAGCGGTGTCCTCTCCACCACTGGTTTCACTGGCCGTCTTCTCTTCCTGGTGCCGGCATCTTCAGTGTGGGCACCCGGCTGTGACAGCTTGAAGCTTCAAAGCCAGGTGCCCGCTGTGCATGCGCGAGAAGCGCTGCACTCTGTGAATGGTACCATAGACACTTGTCACACAGGTCACGTGTCCCAGAAGACTCCGGGGAGGGAGAGGGGGAGGACAGCTTCCGCTTCCGATCCCCCAAGGTACCAATCCTTAATAGGGAGCGGGGGACAAAGCCTTAAAGAGGAACTATCCCTTTGAGTGGAGCTCCGCTTTAAAGGGGCTTCCATATTCTGATAAACCCCTTGCCTACAGACCCCCCCCCCCCCCCCAATGCTTGGGGGAGGAGAAAGTACTTAAAATGCACATATGGACCAATGTAAAATGCATAAAAAAACCCATGTAAACTCATGTGTCTGTGTGTCAAACCTGCATGTTTTTTTCATCAGTTTTTATGCATGTATGGTGTGAATGAGCTCTAAAGCATTATAAAGTTACACTATAAAGGTATTTGTCCAATGTATTTCTGAACAGTTTCAACCATGGTTCTGTACAAAGTAATACATATAACATGGATAGAGCTTACAAGTCAATACATAGGTTCAGTTAGTTTTACATCAACACAGACATAAAAAATTGGGAAAGAGAAATCCCCGTTTCTACCTTGCAACCTATTTAAATACATTTTCTAGTATACATTTTGCAGCTAACCTTAGACAAGGGAACCTTTCATGCTCTATAGAGTCTCATTTGGGGACGGATTTGCCACTGCCCAACTCCTGGGCAGGGCACAGCCTGGGTGAGGCTAACGGATGACTACTGAATAACAGTCTCCATTGATAAAGCTTTCCTGCACTTTTTTGAAATTAAACAAAGTCAGACTACACAATAAATGTGTAAGCACATTTCATACCTTTCACACAAGGACCCCTGCTTTAGAATACTGCGGGCCTGTACTGTCCCATACTACACAGTATTTTCCGCAAGCAGAGCATTACAGAACCCATGTCTCACACAACTTATTTTGAATTTAAATCTGGAACAACAACTCAATTAAACAAAATCTGACTGCATGCAGCATAGCTTCAAGTTCCATTCTGCATTATGTAAACAAAGTCTGACAATGGCACCTTTTCATTTCATAAGTTATGCTTTACTGGTTTATTCTGCTACAATAAGTTACCTTTTTTTTTTTACGAAACAATTTCATTTTATGATATTTAGCAGCATCATGTCCATACCTTGACTGTGCCGTCAGATGATGCACTGATGATATAGTGACCATCCTGTGTGAAGGTGGCTTCATTCACAAACGAGGAATGTCCTCTGAATTCCTTAAGTGTTTTACCAGATTTCAAGCCATGGATTCTACATAAAAGGAATTAGAAATGGCATCATAACTTACTGGCAGACAGATAAATCACATTGCAAATGAAAACAGTAAAGTCATTTAAATACAGAACAGAGTTTATATACAATCTAATCTTCAAGAAACGGGTTTAAAGAATGGATTCCTGCCTCCTAAAAAGGTGAGACTGAAGACTTGCTTTTAAAGAAAAACTACTCATGACCAAATCTTGCAATTATCTTTATATTCACTTTTAGACTAAAAGCATTATGCAAGTTTACATGTAGAGCTGCAAGTCTATTCAATACAGACACAGACTGCAACAAAACAAGTTAGAACCTCTGTCAGGATCTTATTAGGTCTGATTTTTCCCAGTGCCATTAACCGCTACACCTCATATCTTACTCTGATGTCACATGGAATGGAGGTAAAATCTCCCCCACAGTGTCATGGACAGCAATAAAATTTGGACGTATTCCTTCAACTCCATTCCATCAAGTTCCAAAATCATTACTACAAAGAAAACCTTCAATTTTACCTTCAATTTTCTCCTTACTAGAGGGGAAAACACAGGGGCGGTCCATACAGTAACCAACCACTGTGACAGCCAATTGAAGCCAATCACAATGATAAGGTGATTGGGAATTGGTAAGGAGCCGCAAAGTCAGAGTCGCACCAATTTGAACAGTTCCATTGCTAGCACTAGGCATCGACTGTTCAGGCGATTTGAAACAGACAAGTCACATGACAAGTCGCACCAGTGTGAATCAAGGCTTAATAGGAGTTTGCCAAAGATGGTACTTAAAAAGAAAAAGTTTTGTACCAAAACAACGGAAGACAGCATACCAAAAATACTGTATTACCTGATAGTTTGGTCAAAGGAAGCACTGAGGATCTGACTGCTGTCTTTAGAGAAACTAAGGCATGTCACACCCTTGCTGTGTGCACGTTCAAACCTCCTTAAACACTGCCCACTCTGAATCTTCCACACCTGTACAAAAAAAAAAAAAAAAAAGTTTTTCATGGAAAATCTTTACATCTCCTGAAGCATTAAAGTGAAATTGCACTGCATTTGAACCACAAACCAAGAACGTTATTTAATTAATTGGCAATATTCAAAGCAAACTCCCCCATCTATCCATGTCCCCATGCTTTATTTTGCTAAGAAATCATTTTAAAAAAAACACCCCATTTCTGGCAGTGGCCATCCTGAGCAAGGGCAGATGATTAATGTATTATTTACTTCCTGGAATCCATCTGCCTTTAGCTAAGTCATTGGCTGAGCTGAGAACCCTCCCTCCTCTCCTGAAGACTTCTGGGATGCAATATAATTTGCCTAGGCATGGAAAACGGGAAATAACTGAATAAAAAAAAAAAAAAAAAGAAAATTTTATAATCTTCCGATTTACGAATGCTAGCTGCATAAGTATTTAAAAATTGTCCATATTGATTGAGAGTGAAGTTCTGCTTTAAGTACCGATTCACATTTGTACGGTGCAGCTTGACTGCTCCAGTTTCAGTACAAATTGAAAAGCAGTTGTTCAGCGGTTCAGGTCAGGCAGAGGAAAACCGGCCTGAAATCATGTTCTCATGACATGTGCAATTCAGAAGCAGTTCTCATAGAAGTCAATACGCCTGTAATCTACAAATGAACCAAACCACTGCTCCGAAAAAGGACAGGACTCTTTTTTTCAATGCACACTGAATCTGCACTGCCAGTGCACTGGACATACGTGAACAGGTACCATAGAAAGCATATTATTTCACATGTCATGTAGATTGGATGCAGTTCAAACTACATCCAATCTGCACATATGTGAACCGGCACTAAGGTCCAGGTCACACTCGCTTTGGCTGCATTCTAACGGGTAGGGCAGCCCATTCATTTTAATGGACTGTCCTACCTGCAGAATGTGAGGAAAGAAGACCCGGACCACATTTTAACCACTTGCTGCCCAAGGACATCTCTGTTTGTCCTTGAGTTGCAGCGGTTATACCAGGATGATACCTGCAAGCATCATCCTGGTATTGGTTCTTTTTTTCAGGTGCCGGTTGACTTTCTTGTAAAATACTAGCGGTCAATTAGCCGCTAGATTGCTTTTACAAGCAGCAGGAGAAGACGTTGCACTGACTGACCATAGCACTGATCGGAGACCGGAACGGCTCCAATCATCTCTGTGGTCTGAGAAACTGAAAACAAACATTTCATTACTTCCAGTTTTCGCTGGATGTAAACAAACCCTTACTGGTTTGAAGAAGAAAAAAAAAAAAAAAGCATCGGATCATACCAATCTTGGTATGATCCGAAGCTTTGAAAGGCAGAGGAGCGATATGGGGATAGACCTCAGATTTCTCAGTGAAGAGGATTTGTCGTCTATTGCTATCACAGGGCACATTTAAATTCTTTGTGGTAACAATAAAAACTATCAAACAAATAAATAAAGGGATAGTGTAAAAAAAAAAAAAAAATAATAATAGAAAAAAAATAAAGCCCCCCCACCCCCACGTGCTTGTGCGCAAAGGCAAATGCACACGTCAGTCCTGCATCAGTAGGAAAACAGCAATCCCACCACACATGCGAGGTATGCATGCAAAGGTCAGATCAAGAGCAGTAATTCTAGCACAAAACCTTCTGTGTAAATCTAAAGTAATAACCCGTAAAAGCTTTTAAAACGTCGCCTATGCATAACATTTCTGTAGTTTGTCACCAGTGCATGGGCGTGCGCAAATTTTAAAGCGTGACATGTTTGGTTTGTTTAATTGGTGTAACATCATCTTTTAGATTTTACCAAACAATTGTGTATTATATTTTGTTTTCTGAAACTCACTAAATTGTATTTTTTTTGTGTTTCCAAATGGGCAAATCGTGTGACATAAAAAGATTGGAACACTCACCATTTTATTCTCTAGGGCCTCAGTTTAAAAAAAAAAAAAAATAATATAATGTTTAGGGGTCCTAAATAGTTGAAATGATGATTTTTACATGTAGAAGTGTCAGAATAGGCTTGGGAGGCAAGTGGTTAAAATCATACCCCACGGAATCGCACGGTGCACTGACACTATGTAGTTTAGTGGGCGTTTTGCCAATGCATGGGGGTCTCATTAGGAATTAATGGCACCCCCGTACTTCTGCTAAACAGCAGTGTTTTTCTTGCGTATCGGGTGCGTGCGTTACATATTTTTGGTAAAAAAAAAAAAAAAAAAAAACCCCCAATAAGTGTATATTGATTGGTTTCTGCAAAAGTTAGTGTCTACAAATTATGGGGTATATGCTGGAATTTTTATCCTTATTTTTTTTATACTAGTAATGGTGGTGATCAGTGAAAGAGCTGGATCACGTACTACGTACGTGATCCAGTGCAGGAGAGCCGCTTTGCCACAGCACATCTAAGTGATACAGCTGGCAAGTGGTTATTACCTTGATTTTTCCATCCTGTGCTCCAGTAGCCAACATTTCAGTATCCCTGCTGAAGCACATGCACAACACAGCGTCATCCATCATCATGAAGTTATCTTGAGCCTGGTATTTCAAATCCTAAGAAAAAAAAAAAAAAAAAAAAAAAATCATCAACACGTTGCCCACTGATACATTGGATATCTAAATATTTTTTTCAGCTTTTGTTATCAGTTTAGTATACTTCACTTATCCTTAGTCTTAGTCTTAGTCACACTCTGTGCTTGTGTAAAACCCCATTTTAAAAAAATTCTACAGAATAACAGAATTTGTGTACTCAAAAAATACTTTTTTTGGTTTATTGGAGAACACAGTAGACTGCTGGGTAATATGCCACAAGGTGATTAGACTCTAAGAAGCAGTTTTCAGACCCTCCTACAGGGCAGATTCTTCTGCAAAGGAAGTTCCACCAACGAGTATCTAGTATTCAAAATGTAACTTCAGACAGCCATAACAACCATAAACTTTTACTCAGGCAACAGACTTGACAACCCAGAACTTAATGTGTACTAAGAAAAAGATTTTACAGCAAGTAAAAAAAAAAATCCCCCTTTTTCACCCCAGCATCAGAGAAAAAAAAACTTGCAGGCAACTACCAGTAATGTTAGCTCCAGCTGATCACACTGCCATTTGCAAGACCTTTGGGCCAAAGAAGGCTTGATGGCACCTTGTCCACACAATATCTTCATTCTTGAAATAGCATCAGCTGAGAAGGACAACCTACCTACTTAGGACACTATGTTAACTAAGGCTGTAGAAAGGAATATGCCCTTTAGAAGGGACCGATCGAACATCTGAGTGGCAGGGTGTATACCCAATGGTCTGCTGAGTTCCCCAATGAAAGCCAGCAGCTTCCATTTTTAACTACACAAATGAAAACCGTTACAGGTCATTTTCTTAGACATTTTCAGTGAAAAAGGGTGTAACAAAGTACAATGCTGCCAATACACAAATTACAACACTGTACTCTAATGAAATATTTATGTAATAGTACTTGCCTTTCTGATCTTTCCTGTAGTAAAGTTCCACACCTCAATAAACCCATCTACAGATCCTGTAACCAAATACTGACCATCAGGTGAAAAGCGAGCACATTCCACATGTGATTTCTGACCAAACTATAAAAACAAAAATGAAAGCGTGTTATAAAACTAAAAATTATAATTAAAAAAAAAAATAAAAAATAAACACAGCTAATCTTTATATCATAGGCATACATTTGACAATATATACAGTATATAAGACCTGTTGCCAGTATCTATTGTGCAGGTGTGAGCATACTTCATAGGTACTCAAGGGCATGAAGGCACCAGAGCTTACAAATGACAAACAACAAAACAAATCCCTGGTCAGATTTACCTTGATATGCCTACTCAGCTGAGTGGGGAACTTCTCCTCCTCTACATCTTTCACAGCTGCTTTACCTCTAAACAAATCAATAGTCATTCCTGGGGGCAGAAGTCCCTGATGCTGCTGCCATTTTAATGCCTAAAACGGTAATGAAGATGGTGAATTTGAAGACAGGTGTACACCCTTTTAGAATACAAATAAAACAATTATTGTGAAAATTAATAAACAGAAGAATTTCAAAGGCAATGAAATATGTTCATGTACATTATAGCATAGCATTGTGCTTTCTATACAAATTCAATTTTAAAGGACAAGTGTATAATCACAACACTATATGATGAAAAAGTAAAATATCTTTCCTACAGATCCAAAGGAAAACTACAAAGATAAATACAACACCATATAATCATATGAATGGAGATTCTTATCCTTAAATTTTATGTATTTGATTGATAAAGATCAAAAGAAAAAATGTATTGTTACTTGTTTGCATTAATTATATATTACCTGTCCCAAAAGCGCCATGAGACGTGATGGAGGCACTACACTCACTTCTCCAGCAAGGGCCTGAGCTATTGCTGCTCTTCTCTTTTCTTTGCTGCTGCCATCAGGATAAGCCTTTGGGAAGTACACAAAAATATTCACTTGTCATTTTAGGCATTAACCATTAGTCATAAAAGGTTATATTTTTAATAATATGAATCAAGCAAACCAATGAGAGCTGATTTTCCTGCATTATGTGAGCAATTTTACCTGCATAAATACATCAATTTGTATGTATGTCCACCCTGTCCTGAGAATTATACAGCTCTACCACACCACACAATTGTGTCTGGCAGGACAGGATACCTGTCTTTTCTCTGCTGCAGTTAAGTAACACTTACAGGTCTTGCTCATTCACCAGCCTGTGATCGTACAGTCAACAGAGAAAGACAGATTGTGATTGGACAGTCAATGGAGAAAGGGCAGACCAATCAACTAATCTCTCTAATACTCTGCTCTCCCCAGCACAACTGACTGGCTTTTGCGTGATACTTCTTTCTCTCCTAATCTGAACTCTGCTGTTCACTGAGTATTAGGAGGTTGATATCAAGTCAAATTCAGGTAGCTAAATTGTTTGAATTTTTGAAAAATACGTCATTTGATGATACATTATTAAATAGACAGCTGAGTTGATTTGAGTCCTTTATATCAGAGTGGAGTACTGATTTAAAGAAGAACTACACCAAAAACAAATATTTACATTTTTGGAAGGTACAGGGGATTGAAGTGTCTATCATCTCTTTCTGTTAGGGAATCCAATGCTGAATTATCACCACAGCCAAGGTCAAAGTGAAAGTGTCCTTGGCTCTTGCAACTGGATTCTGGATAACCATTCAGGGTAACAGGACGCTCTTGTATGGTCATTGTTTGGCCAGCTTAAGGCCTCAAAATTAAATTTCAGTTCTGACAGATGCTAGATAAATTAGTAACCAACCAACCAACCAACCAACATCTTTAAGGTCTCTGCACCAGTATTTTCCATTATGCAAGAGGTGTTTTTCATTCATTTTGTATTTTGGTTTCTCATCAATATCCATCTACAGCAATTTCAACATTAACATAAAGAACACTTTATTAAATTTGAAGGGAGAGCAGGAAAGTGCACCCACTGAAGTCCGTGGGACACAGGAGGCAGAGTTGAGTTACCTCTGAGATGTAACCATCCAAACGATCCCTACTTAAAACTGCTGTAATCTTGAAAAAATAATCAGCCCAATAAAAATGACAAAGCAAAAATCTGATTACAAAGGGTTTTCTGCTTGTCAGGACTTTGTACCATTCTTAAAATATGCCCATATAAGTCAACCTATTTTGGATCAAACATACCTCACGTGGGTCAAAATATGATCTTGCCAAGAGATTTTCCAAGTGAATGTATCTTTCAGGCTGGGTCTGTTTTAACATGATCATGGGGTCAGTTTGTCTCAGGAGAGATCTAGCGGCTCCCAATTCACGAAGTTCAATCAATTCCAATACCACCTGGAAATTGTAACATAAAAAACCATAAGACATCGCATACGTCATTACAATGTTTAACAATACGCATAAAACTGAACACACATGTTGCTACCAATCAAGTACTGTGCAGTACATAAAAAAAGGCACAAGATGAAACGGTTAAAAACTAGCCTTAAAAGTGGATATGTTTCAAACATACAATCTCATTTTAACAAGTTAATTATTTGTTAAATAAGTCTTGCCTACTGCATTAGTGTGACACGCGGTGCTTGTATCAACAGATCCAGATGCCCCATATCCAGACTAATCAGGTAAGAAGAGGGGAGTTTACACAGCTCTTATAATATGGCAGGGTCAATGTTTTGAACCCCCCCCCCCATCCATTGGGCTGCATGCAGCCGGAGCCCATCTGTAGAGATGCTGGGGTAGCAAGGTAAATGCATGTGGGGAGAGATCCCAGGGATGCTGTGAAAAATAGTTGATGGGTGAAGGGTGTGTGCTAATGAGCAGGGGTGTATTTACTGCAAGGCAAACAAGGCATTTGCCTAGGGCGGCATTTTTCGGGTGGGGGGGGGGGGGGGGTAACACTACCCCTTGGAAAAAGGGACGGAAGAAGGGACACACGCGGCATGGGGACCTGGTGGGTTCCGAGAGATGCTGTGGGTTTCATGACGGTGTATGCACAGCACGACTCTCGTTCCTGGGGGATGTGAAGGTGAGTGTCTTTCTCTGGGGGATGGTGGCTGGTGTATGGGGGGCAGTGGTTGAGGATGGCTTGGGTGGAGGGCAGGGGTGTTCTTGGTCAATGTCAGGCTCTGTTTGAGCACGGGGGGGGGGGGGGGGGGGGGGGGGGGTGGGGGGGGGGGGGGGGGGGGGGGGGGGCCGCCAAAACCTAAATGCACCACTGCTAATGAGGTCAGTGCAGGATGTGTGTGCTAATGAGATAAGCTGGTAATATGCTCCGGGGTTACTACTGGCTCTTCTGTCCTTTGTCTAAACTCCAGGAATTGAAAAAGCTTTCTAAGAAATTTACCAATAACTGAGTTAGGCCTTGTTCTTCAGATCAAAGACAGCGCAAGTATTTTTGCAACTGAGGTATACTGGTGCATAGGGGAGCTGGATTTTATTTAAAAAAAAAAAAAAAAGTGAACTTAGCCTTTAAACGGCTAACAAACCTAAAGCTTGTAAAAAGGAAAGATATACCTAAAATAAATAAATAAAATGGTTTACTTTTTACATCATACTTAACTAGGTGGATGTTGCATCTGTCCCCCGCCGGCTCCAAGTGTGAGAACTCAGTGATCACATGACAGAGTTCTCACAGCCGCTCTGAACACCGCTGTCTGCACTGCGCCACCCCACCCTCCCGTGCTTACTGGAGCACTGGACTGCACATTGCTGAGAGTGCCGCTCCAGAATCTGGTGTGAATCCTGACTTTGAAAACAGGTCACAGGAGTGCAGAACGAACTGCCTGTGATCCACAGAAGTACAGTCAAAAGAGCTTTGGTTGTGCCTCTCCTTTAAACATGTATAATATTTTCAAGTATATCAATTAATGATTGTTAAAAACATGTTTCTATGTGTAGTTTGTTATTATACATGTACATGGTAAAGCCATGTTTACTTGTCAGACTCCTCCTTTGCAGTATTACATAAGTTTAGTTCACTGCTCCTTCTCAGAAAGCAAGTTTGAGGTGGCTGACACATTAAGAACAGCCCAGTGTTGCAGCTAGACAAAAAAAATTAATCTCCTTTGCTGCTACGTGCTAATCTACAAACCTCAAAATTTAAATACAAGAACAAAAAATGGAAGAGCAAGACTATAAAACTGTGTGTTAGACTTAGTCATGTCTAACACGGTATATTTTATATGGAATGATAGACAAGTAGTTTAATCAAGATCATGGCAGGGGCAGCTGTGAGCTTGGTACCAACTTTAACAGCTGGCAAAGGGCTTAAGAGCCACCCAGTCACTTTTATGGGGCTCTTCAAATGCTCCAGGGAAACCAGGAAACTGCTTGCACAGTGAATGCACGAGGAACTCAGGGAACATCCATTCATCAATCCCTCCTGTGACTATTGACACCAGAAATGATGTGTATTATGTTACTTCCAAGGTCACAGCTGAAATTCCTCTACTAGATTAGCAGAGGATGCGACTATTCAAGCCCAATCTGTGCCCGAATAGCTGCAGTGAAGGGCACAGGAGATGTTAATCCACTAAAACCTTACCTGTTCATAGAGATCAATGAGTGTCTTATCTGGCAGCTTTAGTGACTGTATGGCTTGCAGAACTGTATCCCAATGTCCACTGTTAATGTCCGCCACAAAACTCTCGATACTGTCCACAGTGTTTAAAGACACTGTTGTTTCTTCTTGCAAAGTAGCCAATGCACGATGCAAACTGTTTTCTTTTAGGTATTGCATAATAAGACGTATGACGCTGGGGAGACAAAGCAATTTTGTTTGTTAAACTTTCCTTATCATATTTTAGCCTAAAGTAGATTTTAAACCCAACCATCGATCTAACGGTTTCCCAGAATTGTTACATTTAAAGCAGAGTTCTAGTCATTTTTAGAAATTACCCACATTGTAATGTACACCACTAGTGAATCAAGATATGGATACTGAAATGTAGAAATTTCTCGCAGAAAGTACCTTTTTAGTAATGTTCCCCGTTACTGCCGGTTGGGGCTGCCTAGGCGATTGCATCATCAGCCCCCTGCCCATTGAATCCTGGGATATCTACGTCATCGATCCCAGGAGTCTCTGTGCATTTAATGCGAGTACACAAAGCGCGCCTCGCAGTGTCATTACTGCTCATGCGTGAGATCCTGGGTGCATGCTAGGTATGCTGCACGAAATCCAGGAAATGAAGCCAGGCCGGCTTCAGCTGCCCAAATCCTGCATAGCCACAGCCAGACTTGAGGGGGACAAAAGAAAAATAAGCAGTTTGTAAGTAGTTACAATGTGTACAGGGGCAACATTATCCATTCTGCTTATGAGGAATTACAATGATCCCTGCAATGCTATTAATGCAATGTTGGGGGGGGGGGGGGCAGATGTGGACAGAAGTGCACCCCTTGTCAAAACAATAGCACAGTGGGGGAGAATGCTGCACTAACGTTACATTTTTAGTATGGTGACTTCTCAGTTTTTTTTCCTTATTCAGGTCGCTTGGTTAAATTAAAAACAAAACAAAACAAAAAAAAAATGTGTATGAGGCTTTAGATTTTAACGGCTTTGCACTGACACCTCCGGTCCTTTACGGGGTTTGTGACACCGGAAGGTGGGGTTTAGGGTGAACATGACTGGCTGCCATAGCAGTCGCATGATAGGAAACCTCCTGAAGTGGCGATTGGGACCTTTCCATGAGGTGCCGGTGAATGTGCTGGGAGTGCGCAGGGCACACACTCTCTGCATGTTTGTTTACAAGGTGTATGCAAATATGCAGCCTCGTAGCGTCAAGACCCAGCCACCGAGAGGCCATATATTTGCGTACCATCCTCGCCTAGGTGTTATGCTCCTTGCAGGGGTGTGGAAATTAAAAAAAAAAAAAAAAAACTTCTTGTCCAAGGGTCTAAGGCTAGGTTCACACCTAAGCGGTTTCCGCAGCGTTTTGCCGAAACACACTACAGTCCATTTAACATGATTTCCTACAGGACACATTCACATCTCCGAGTTTTCACCTGGTGCGTTTTTTGGAAAGTTGCATTTTTGGTTCCATCTATGTATGCTCATTGCTTCCGGTTGCCAATATCACAGAGGTGGACAGAGCAGTTTCAGTCTTTGCCTACCTCTATGATCAGCTGGCAGAAGTGTCGGCTAGTTGACCCGGGTGTCCCAGTGGGATGGAACAGCCCACGGAAGGCGGCGCTGCTTGTATATGTGATCCAGCAGCTAGTTAGCCACTCGGATTGCTTTTACAAGAGAGCTAGTCTGGGGGGGGGGGGGTGAGGGCTGGTATAGGCCATACTCTAAGGCTAGGTTCACACTTACATTGTGCAGAATACAGCATATGATTTGCACAGGAATTGCACATCACATGCAATGTCTGTGAGGTGCGATCTGAGCAATACATTTTGTATAGCTCAAATCAGATCACATCCACACCAAAATGGTGCAGAGCCCTTTTTTTTTGGCTGCACCTGAATCGCATTGCTGCACACCCACGCAATGCGATTCTAGCAATTGCAACTGTGTGTTTTGCAATCTATTTCGGGGTGTTCATTTAAGACTGACCCCTGCAGCAGATCGCATGGACGCTGTGGGATTGCAATGCAGGAAGCGCACAGAATTCGCAATGTATTAGTATAAATAGGACTCAGAGATTTATATGAGGACAGATATTGGTGGCATCTCCATTCCATGTATGGTGGTCTCCCCCCTCCATGTAGTCTGAAAGGTCCACCAAGGCCCCCCCCGAGTAACAAACCATGTAATCTTTACAGATACTGGACATTCGAGTACATAGCAGAAAAAGGTCTACAACTCCCAGTATCCACGGGGCGGCTGGTGCAGCCTGTACTCCATCTCTCTGGAGACCAGACTCCACTGTGCTGGAGGCCCAGGGAGGTGAAGAAGGGGGGCCGCACTAGCCCGGCGGTGACGTTTAAGGAGGTGAAGGAGCTCCGGGGCAGGACCTCCCTGTTTAGCAGGTCAAGGACATGGGGAAGGGGAGAGGTGGGCCACACTGCCTGGCGGTGACGTGTCTGGAGGGGACATGCCACAATGGGACATCCGGCGGGAGGAGAAGGGGGACCATCAGCTTTAAACCCTGCTGCTTGCCCGCAGCAGAGCTAAATGTGAAGAAAAACCTCTTGCGCAGCACCTGGAACGGTATGTCCCGCATGTCAGGCGATAGGAATGACACATCCCTATCCTTGAGAGCCTAATTTTTGAGGGCACTGATAAAAATGTAGCAAAAGTATGTGGTTGGGGGGGGCGGTTGAGAACGTTTCCTTTAGTTCCGGAGAAAGTGACAGCTAATTCTGTTAGCTATAGTGAAGAAAAAAATCAGCACCGACATACTGTGACAGCCTCTCTGTATACACTGCTCCTCTCCTGCCCCCCCCCCCTGCTCTCTCCCACCCCCTCCAACCTACAAAGAGGACCTGTCACTCATGCGATCACATAAGGGACTATTGGTCCCCTCTGTGAAAGCAATAAAATCATGATAAAAAAAAAAAAAGGGAGCCTCCCAACCCCCAGATAAGCAGACATTTTCGTTTCGGTTCTCGGCCACATGCATTCTGAGTTTTCTGTATCTGTATCAGAATTTTCATTTCGGTGCACCACTAAAAATTATCCCCACTGTGACATTCAGTAGGTAGTACCACCTTCTGAATGCTACCCTGTTCAACTGAATTGGGACACCCCTGCAGATGTGTGCATTGGTGTGCTAGTGTGGGGTTCAAGCAGCAGATGAAGAGGCAATACAATATGTGGATTGCTCTTCAGAGAGTCACTCTAGAGTAAACTAGCCCTAAGGATAGGCTCATATTTGTTTGTGTACGTGTGTAAATCACAGATATTCTCACACCCAAACCATAGTGCTTTGAAGAAAACGCAAAGGGGAGCCATTAAAGTGATATTGAAGGTTCGTTTTTTTTTTTTTTAATTAACAAACATGTTTTACTTACCTGTCCTGTGCAGTGGCTTTGCACAGAGCAGCTCAGATCTTCTTCTCTGGTCCCCTGCCAGCACTCCTGCCCCTCCTTCTTGACTTGGGGGCACTGGTGCTTGCTCGCTCCTGAACCCTACTCTATGCCTCCATAAGACACAAAGAGCCACAGCTCGGCCATGCCCCCCCACTCCCTCCTCACTGGCTGTGACTGACCGCAGTGCGAGATAATGGCTCCCACTGCTGTTTCTCAGCCAATGAGGAGAGAGAAACCCAAAAGAGCTGAGACTCCTGTGCACATCGCTGGATCGAGGGGGCTCAGGTGAGTATTAAGGCAGGCTGTAGGGGAACAGCACACAGGTTTTTTTTACCTTCGTGCATAGAATGCATGAAGGCAGAAAACCTTCCGCATTTAAAAATCGCTTTAACTGTTAATGGCATCCCCACCCACTGAAAACCACAGTGTGTGTCCACGTGGCTACATTTTAAAAAACCAAAAACGAGACCTTTTTCCTGCAGGAAAATGCAGGCACAGCAGCCTCTTCAAATGAAGGGGCTGCTGTGCTGGCACAAATGAGCCACACAGAACTGCACTAATTATTATTATTATACAGTATTTATAAAGCGCCAATAGTTCGCTCAGCGCTGTACATTACAAAGGGGGACAGAACATGTGACAGTACAATACCAATACAATGCAAAACATGAGGGGATCGAGGGCCCTGCTCTTTCGAGCTTACAATCTAGGAATGTGAACCTAGCTGAACAGTGCAGAGCCAGGAAGGCTGGTTAAAGTGTTACTAAGCCCGGGACCCTGCATTCACTATATCTGGTCTCCCACAGTACACTGAACATGGATATGCAATTATTTTAGTAAATTTAAACTGCTAAATACCTTTTCTCATCAGCAGTATGTAACAGTCTTGTGACTTCTATCAGTGTCCAGTTGAGCACTGCTTAAAGCTTGTCGGAGGAGTTTTCATTCTCCTCTGACTGTCTTATGAGGCTGCATGGCCCCTGACTGGGCAGTGCGGATTGCCCCTGTGTGATCACATGAACAACCCACCCCCCCAAAAAAAAACTCTCTAGCAACACACACCAAACTAAGCATGTGCAGAGTGCCTCCTAGGGCTCTATACTATCAGCAGATGGATTAAGGGCCGGTAGAAGGGGAGGATCAGAGAAGACAGGATCAAACACCCTTTTTACACACTATGAAGTGTTAACACCTTAGGTTCCAAAGTGAGTATAACAAGCATGCTTTACTGCTTATTTATTTCAGGTACTTATATAGCGCCGTCAGTTTACGCAGCGCTTTACATATATATTGTACATTCACATCAGTCCCTAACCCTCAAGGGATGTACAATCTAAGGTCCCTAACTCACATTCATACATATTAGGGCCAATTTAGACAGGATCCAATTAACCTACCAGCATGTCTTTGGAGTGTGGGAGGAAACCGGAGTACCCGGAGGAAACCCACACAGGCACAGGGAGAATATGCAAACTCCATGCAGGTGGTGCCAGGCAGGTTCGAACCAATGAAGCTAGTACTGCCAAGCAGAAATGCTAACCATTTGGCCACTGTGCTGCCCATACAGACTGATTTAGACTGTTGTGGGTTTATTAACACTTTAATTATGACTGCTTTTTCAGCTAACCCCCAGTAATGTTCAGGCAGCTCCATGTTCACCTTCTCTGGAGCACAGCTTTATTTTGCCTTCCCCATTCACTCCAATGCATTTCCCCAAATATGGAGACAAGGGATTCTGTTCTTTTTCTATGTTTTTGATCCCTAACCACCAGCAGGCAAACGTCCAAGCACAC